AGCTAGTTTAGCGGGAAGTTTGAGTCTTCCGGTGTCGTCTAAATACTGACTCCAGCCACCGATCAGTCGAACGGCTTTTGGATCGACGATTAGTGGACGAAACGGTGAACCAGGGAGCTATAAAAAACGCCAGTCATTTCGCTGTAATTTAAGGAGTACTATACGTACATCATTGGGGCCTATGCTGATTATAACATCATAAGTTCCAACCCATTTCGGCGTATATGACACTAAATATTCTCCCGGTTTAGGACTCTGAATATGTGCGTCGATGTTTCCTTCAACTGCTTCGATTTGTACTCTTGGTTGGATTACGCTGCTGACAGTGAATGAGGTTCTTTCTCCTACTTGTCCGCACTCCAAGCCTTTACCAACGGCTCTGGGTGGTGGTGTCGGACCGATAGGCCCAACACCCAAAGCCAGTGGTGAACCCTTAACTGGAACACCTCCGTACGTAATACTGACTTGATACAACCCGGCCATCGTTGGTAAGAACGAAATCTGTTTCAGGTTGTCTTCGAAGATGTGTTCTTGAGTCGCCACAGTTTGACCAATGGGGTTAGTAACTTGAACTTCTAGATCAGCATCTCCGGAATTTTTACTAGATACTGGAAACAATAAAATCAAACTGAAACCCAACTTGAGTATTGATTGTTTACCGTTAAAGTTGACCCTTTCCCCGACATTTCCTTGGATGTGTGGGATATCCAAGACGCGAACTTGATCGGGGTCGAACGCTTGGCCTACAAATGGGCTACCATTCACGGGCTTGGATTGGTGCAAAACTTCTATTTTGTGGCTTCCGATGTCTCTAGCCGTGTACTCCGCTTGTAATTTTCCAGTCTTAGTTTGATAACACCTAACGGGTATAGCAGAACCACCGGGTCCACTAATCACAACGTCAAATTCTCTGGCACTTCTTCCGAGAGTATCGATATGGAACGACGTGACTTTCCCAACTCTGGCTTGGTACAATCCGAGTCCTCCAGCCCATGGTTCGTTCCCTGGACCTTTAACTGGCACCTCCAAAACTCCAAACTTCGGTACGTTGTTGTAGTAGAGGTTAATACGATGTGGTGCAGCGTTTATCGGATGGAATACGATCTCCCACATATTAGCATTAGTTGGACTTTGACGTACGCTGTGGGCAACATCTTTGTTACCCACTTTCACGGAACCTGTAAGTTTCCCAGGTCCAACTTTGTGCATATTAACACCCACAACAGCCGGTCTATGGCATAAAGCTTCAGGGGCATTAACTACGTCGATTTTTGAAGTGTCGAAAACATGGATAGTACGTGTTGCTATAATTTCATGGCCACGGTAAATTTGTACTCGATAAGTGCCTGTCTGCGTAAGACTGAACTCTGCTTTGGAGTTGTTAACTACGTATTTGACGTGATGGTTATTTGCGTCCGTTATTTCAAGTTTATGTTGGTCGCTTGGTAAATCAATGTACGAAATGGCTCCGATTTGGACGTATTGAGTAGCTTCAACGACAGAACAGTGGAAGGGACTTCCTACTACCGACATGTCGTTGAATGTGATATTCACGAAGTGGTCTTCAGCTGTTTGTGGCACAAAAGTCACGTCGTATAAACCACGAGCACAAGCCACCACTTCCGCTTTGATAGTAGTGTGTTGTGTGGACACTACCAGCTCTAAAGTACCTTCACCAGCTTGAGCGGCATCTACACTAAAAGTGACAGGTTTACCAACTTCAGCTGAAGCGAGATCGTTGTTCAGGCTTAAGTCGTTCAAGATTTTGTTGATGTTTTCGTGGTTTTTGCGTCCAGGGAGTCCGGATACTATTACTTTGTTGACGTCGTAGACGTTGCAACTGAATGGTGAACCGATGACGTGTTGGTCGTTGATGAGAATGGCCACGGAGTGACGACCGACCATTTCCGGGGTAAAGCGAGCAATGTAGGAGTCTCCGGTAGGTGTTAACTTCGTGGGGAGGATTTTTCCAGTTGGAGCAGTTGTTACCACTTGGGGTTCCCCTGTTGTTACTCCTTCGATTTTGATTTCAGCGGAATGACCAACAGCTGCCAGTTCGATGCCAGAGCCAGATACGGGAATTCGTGGTTGGGTGTTTCCGGGGCTTACTTTGCAGCTGAAGGGGGATCCTGGGACGGGCTGGCCATTGAATCTGAGGGAAAAAATCGACTTGGTATTTCTGGAGTTGTACATCTTGGTTCCAAATAGTGTCAAATAAAACATTTTTACCACAACTTTTCAACAAAATATGACATCATAATACAACAATGAATTCGGAAAAAACCTATAAAAATTGGTCTAAAGAGTTTAGACAGTACTTCCCTCGCCGGTAGCTAAAGGCCTCGTTTTCATCGGTTTTATTGTGTTAACATTTTTCAAGTTTGAATTCCAGTAATTCTCGTTGATCCAACATCAAAACAACAAAACAGTCGTTTTCAAGACTCATGGTGATATACCCTGATTTGCAAATTCAAGAAACGTTGTTAGAGGCTCACAATCGAAATGTAATCAACAGATTTGTTCGAGATAGCAGTGTCAATAAAGGGAAATCTCCTGGACGACCTTCATTATCTGAAGTAGTTGTTAATGATTTGAGATACGACTCGAGCAGAATGCGCAAACATCTTTGACAATATTGTAATCAGGAGTTTCTGTTGCATTGACAAAAGGATGTTATAGAACACTTTTGAAAATAAGAAAAAGAGAGTCAACATGTGCCTTGTGAACAAAATGGCGAACATTTTCAATATTTACTGCGATGTTTAACCACCACAAATTTGTTTATTTTTATTATAAGTTTTATTTTTTTAATAACAAGATATGAAGCGTTTGGGCAACCAGTTATACAGATGCGTGTGATATTTGCCATGCGTCCTTGGGCATTTAGTAAAACACATACACATAAAGTGATAGGTGGCACGCTTCCATGACCTGCTTCGAATCTATAATCATTTATAGAAAGCCTGTGTATAGAGTGTGTTGCCGAAGTTACTGCGAAATATTGTAGATATATTTGAAAAAGAACTAACGTATAAGAAATTATTAATATGAAGTTCATGAAGGAGAGAATAAACGTTTAAAATGGAGCGAAGGTTATTTCGACAGAAGTTCCGTTGCTCCTGAAGTTCAGTCGAAAAATGATAAAATTTAACTTTTAGAGTTTTACTTTTTTTTATGATGATCCCTATGTGTTGTTAAAGTAAAAGTAAAGAAGCATAAAATGTATATGTTTCTAGTGAGTTTTTCCTTATAAAATTGGTTTGAATACGTTATCAACATTTTATCAAGGGCACGTGTATCAATTTGAATAGATGTAATACTATTAATAACAGTACTGTATCCTCAAATTTTCAGGAAAATGGGATAGGTGATAAAACATGCCGATTTATTCATTAATTCTTTTAAGCCACCTTGTATAAGCAATTCAAAAAATAATAGGGATAATTAGCCAAACTTTGGTTAATGTTTTACCATCTACACCATATTCCTAAAATACATGTAAAATTTGACAACAATCAGTTTGGTAGTTTCGGAGATTATTTATCTAATATAAATCGACAGCAAACGACAGACCAGCAGATGGAAACGGAAAACCTATTTTTTCGTACTCTAGGGGTTATGAAACGTCGAGAAAACATAAAAGTGGTGAAGGAGTTGATAACAATACTTCCAAAATATTCTAGATATCTTTTCAGAAATGAAACACAGTGAAATGAAGTGTGTGTTGAAGAAGCTTTTTTCGGCAAAAAAATTGACAATGTAGAAAGTAGAAGAAATGTGACCAAAAACGAAAAAAAAAATGTACCTAAAGGCCCAGAAGAAAACCGTTGGTCGAAATGGAAGAAGCTTTCGAAAATCTAAATGTCAGAGATTGGAAAAATAAATTCCAAGGCAAGAAAGATTGAAGGCCTGTAGAGCTGTACATATAGTTAATTTAGTCTCGACAATGACGACATTTTGCAGACAGTATTCGGGAAATTTATTATCAATTTATTTAGGAAGACATCAAGTTTTAGATGTTCTATACAACCCAAACCAATTAAATAAAAATGTATAGACCCGAACAAAATAAAACAATACCTGACGCTCAGTGTGTGCGTTGCCGCCTCAGTCGGTTTAAAGTTGACTTTAAACCTAGCATTCCCTTCACTCTGGACGAAGTTCGGCACATTCCTTCCACCAACAGCGACAATAATTTCCAGGTTTCCAGCTCCAGCTTGCGACGCATTAATGCTGAAAGATACAGGTTTTCCCACAACCCCATCAGTGATATCAGTGACGGTGACCCGGTTAGCATCGTAAGCTTTAATCAGAAACGGACTTCCTTCGATGTGCCCACCCGGCAGCCGGACTTCGACACTATGGTCACCTACATCGATTGGCGTAAAAGAAATGTCGAACTTCCCTGGAGCGCCAGCTTGAGGTGTTATCTACAAATCTTTACAATAACACTTGCCTGGTTATCAAAATTCAAACAAACCTGAGTCGGAAGAGATCTTCGTGCTGGTCCCAAAATCTCCACGATAGGCGGATTTGGACTTTCCACAACCAGAGTGCACGGCCTTCCCACCGAAACCTTATCCAAGGCTTCAGGTCCAATAATTTTGGCCGCAGGTGCAACGTTACACTTGAAGGGACTCCCCGGGACATCTTGTCCGTTGAACCTTAAATCAACCGAATGCACTGTGGCTTCACGTGGCGTAAACGAGATGGCGTAAGTGTGGGGGCCTTGTGCTTGCGCTGACGTCGGCACCCGACCACCGTTCACCGTTACTTCAAGGTTACCAGGGCCGGCTTGACTCGTCTCCACTGAAACAGCCCGCTGTAGAAACGGTGACCCAAAAATAGGTACTCATTACCCAAAAACGTTACCGGTTTGCCGACCACTCCGCTAGATGTCTCCTTGACTTTGATGGCTTGCACGTCGTAAACTTTGGCGGCGTATGGACTCCCAGCCGTGGGGATCCCACTGACGCTGACGTTGATCCGATGTTCGCCGACAACTCTCGGGACAAACTCGGCTCGGAACTGAGAGTTTCCCAGCGGTTGTACCTGAGTTGGTACCGCTTGACCTCCCGGGCCTAGCCGTCCGAGACGATTAATTTAAATGGGAACGGGAGTGGGGTGGAGTTTTTCAAATTTTTACGTTAATTTTGCAATGATTAGATCGTGTCGATCATGGAATGTTTTAGCAATTTTGATAAGAGCGATGTACTCATGTGCATGTGTGAATATAAGTGTGAAAAGGTCGAGTGAAAATACCCAAAAGCTACACAGAATGTTTAAGACACAGATGGATTGTAGAAAGTGAAGAGTTTGTTAGTGAACAATAGAAATAAAGTGCGGAAATTATCTACAGAGATACTCTACGGCTGATGGAATTGTTGAAATTAAATATAATTGACTAGTTAGGAGTTTAATTTGCTACAGCATTGAACATCTGTTAACTGTATTAAGTCTGGCTGAAATTCGCGTTTTAGTAGGTCAGTGGGATGCACACGCAAGCATTAATCATCGAATTTCACGTTTATTTATTTATAGGAAGTTATTTACTATTTTCGTTTAAGTAGTTTACTATATAAGTGTAATTTGTTTACGTAACATTGATACGTTATTATACAATTGTCATGGTTTAAGTTGCAACAATAAAAAAAAATAGACGGTAAATTGTTTGCTCTTGGTGACAAATACTTAAATACGGACCGTAAAGGCGGTGAAAATCGTTCCGATTAAGTGACAATTAGATTGGCGTCACATGCAATTTAAAAGTAATTACGTTAATGATACACTAATTTAGTTTTAAATGTTTTAGAGACCGAGTAACTTCACAGCGGTTATCATTCTTTTAATACTAGAACTTGTTCATAGCGATTAGTGTAAATTCGTATTTTTTTTTAAATAAACCGTGCAACTAAATGTGCAATAAATTCAGCAAGAAAAGCCAAAGAGGCAGAATAAGTTGTTGAATTCGTAATTTTCAATGAGAAACAATTCTCAAAAAAATTGTCCAAAATTTACCCTTATTGTCAAATCACTTAAACGTTTTCATAATTTTTTCTTTTGCTAAATTTGTTGCACAATGTGCACATTTTTTTTGTACGTACAGTATAATGATCACATCTACAATACGAACTGTGTTGACTAGTCCTTTGTTTAAAGATTAAAAAAAAATAATAATAAAAAATAAAAAATTGATCTACGTATTTGTTCTAGAGACTAGAATGAGTTTCCATTTTTACAAATTTTAGATTTGAATATAGATTTTACACCGGCACTTAGTAGAGGACCAATTTGGGCTATTCATGCTGAAGGAAAGTAAAAGTATATATTCAAGATAAAAATCACTGACAAAAAAATGTTATGTAGTACTGTTACAAAAGTAGGTTTCAAATACATTTTTTTTCTTGTACAAAAGGTGATGTTGCTATAATTAATTTTAGGCAAACTTCCGAATTAAGTCTTTACTGTCCTTAACCAGAGTAACTTTTACGTAAACTAATTTAGATCATGACTTAACTGTTTGGTTAAGGTATTTGCAAATTGTTATAATTGCTTATAACTAAAAGAAACGAGTCACATGTAACACATTTCCTTAATAATTGATCAATCAATTTGTAAAAATGAGTGGTGAAATTTTTTCAGTTTGAAACATGTATTTCGATGCATTAGAAATAATAAAATAATTAACTTGTTAAGGAAATAATATGCCAGTCTTTACAAGTCGATAATTATTATTATTATAACTAATAATTTGATAGCTTATTTATTTTTTATAAATTTATAGAAGTAATCAGAAAAAAAATGTAAAAGTTATATACGACATACCTAAAACTATCGTCAATAAGCTGAAGTTTTTTTTCACTTCAACAGTACATAGGCTGTCTGAAAAATTGAATTTAGACGAACAAAAATTTAAAAAAATATTTGTTCAGGTTAATAAATTTTTGAAAATTTACAATACATACAATATTGATCAAGTAAATTTTATAGTTTCATGGACGCTAAAATGTTCCTAAAAAGGTTCAAAATACATAAATAATTGTTTTAAGGCAAATATATTTAACTAAATTATTAGTTTTTATATACATATTTGGTATAGACTTAGATTATTTGAGACTTTTGTATTTCCCCGCCTTTTGTATGGGAGTATTATAATGTCCCCAATTTTTTTATTTTTACGACTAAATGTAAAAAATTCCCCACGACATGATTAAATTTTGATTCTGCACATTTTTTCACAGAGTGCTTCTTTTTCGAGATATTTAAAAGTTTCAGGTTAAAAAAAATCAGCCTGTATACGACATACCTTAAACTATAGTCAATAAGCTAGTTTTTTTTTATTGTAAGAATACATAGGCTGTCTAAAAAATCGAATTTAGACAAAAAAAAATTGCTTCGGAGAAAAATATTTAATGCCTGAGGTTGCAAAATTTTTGAAAATTTACGATAAATAGAATATTCACCACGTAAATTTTATAGTTCCAAGGACGCTAAAATGTTCCTAACAAGGTTCAAAATACTGAGAACATAAAAATTTTGTTTAAGTATGGTAAAAGTAAATATACTTAAATAAATTCTTAGTTTTTGTATGTTTGGTATAGACTTAAGGTCACAAGTAAAATCATAAGAATATTCTCAAGAAATCATAAGTGATTGTACGACGGTAGCTATTTCTTGTTCCTATCATTAATTTTAAATTTAGCGCCGTTTCTGTACAGCGGCTGTTATTTTGTGAGGTTAGAAACTCATTAATTTGTATTTTGGTTCATGTTCTTTCAATACTGTCGATTTATTCCCAGTAATTGTTTAATACAAAAATAAAACAAACTTTAGGAATGATCGACTTATCTTCATTCTAGCACTTATAATATTATAATAACAAATAAAAATAATGATTTTGTTGTTGTTATCAAGATATACATACTTTACGAGAAGCACAGTTGTCACCTCTGCCTAGGTTAGAAATCTTTAAATTTAAGATTAAATATCAAAACTAATCATAACAAAATCACAAGTTATTTCACGATAATGTAAACTCCAAAACTCGAATACCGACAATAGTGTTCATTCCTAAGTAATCATAAGAAAATCATAAGGAATTTGTTTAAGAAATTTCCTAAGAAAAATTCCGTAATGTAAACCGACCTTTAGACTATTCGGGATTTTAAAATTCCCGCCTTTTGTATGGGGGCATTATAATTTCCGGGAAGTTTTAATTTTTTGACTAAATGTAAATAATTTATACGACATACCTAAAACTATAGTCATTAAGCTATTTTTTTTAATACTTATAACAATAAATAACAAAAATATTTAAAAGTTTGAGGTTGTAAAATTTTTGAAAAATTACAATACATAATAGTAATAAATTATTCACCATTAAATTTGAACTTTTTAACAGTAAGTTTCAGATTTTAAGGCTAGGCAAAACTACAATAATAACATTAAAAGCTATCTCTTAGAAATTCATCCGCAGAGTAATAGCTTTTCCTCAGTAGCAAACATTTTATTTTATTTTTGAATAATATTTCAGACTGTTGTTGCTTTAATTTATGTGGTAGTCTATTAAATAATATAGTATCAGTATATTTGGATTATTTTGAGAAATTTTTAATCTAGCGTATGGTTGATGCAGATTGCCCGAATTTCTCAAATTATATTCATAGATTTCCGAGTTTTTGTAATTTGGTTTATATTTTGATATATATGCAACAAGAGATGCTGGATATATAGGCATAGCAGCACAGAATATTCACCAAGTAAATTTTATAGTTTCAAGAATGCTACAATATCCCTAAAAAAGGTTCAAAATATTGAGAACAAATAATTTTTTTTAAGTTTGAGACAAGAAAATAAATGCCCAGTTTATGACGTGCGTATAGACTTTTAAAATTTCCGGTTTTTGTATAGGCGCATTAGAACATCCCAAAATTTTTAAAAAATTCAAAAGGGATATAAAATAATGAACTGAATAAAAAAAACAGATTTTATGTTGTATGCATTGAACAAAAAAAAAAACAAACATCTCTAAAATTTTGCTGACATTTTGATAGGCAGCCCACTTTATTTTGGGCGTAACTATATAATATATGTGATTTGCTTTTTCAAAATACCAGTTTGCACATTTCATGATAAACAATATATGGAGAGCAATTTGGGCAATTTCTTGACTGATTTTTCCAGTTATTTCGCCATGAGATATTTTTAAAATACAGTTTTTACAGATTTTTTATTTTGTTATTTTTTTACTATGTTTACTTAAAAAAGTATATACACAATTTTAATGTTAGAAATGGTTATTAAAAAATTATTGGCGTAAAAAACTGAGAAATGAGGGGACAGTCGAGTTAAAAATCTTTCGAGCGTACTAAAAAAGTTCCTCGGTTTAATTAATAAAATTGTTAACATAAGTGGATTTTAACAACAAAATAATTTGGAAGAATTTATTTATATTGAAAAGAGTATGTAAATAGAGCAATTATTTAAAGATGAGTCGACAAATTTATGTTGTAACGATACTTCTATTTGTATATATATATATATTAGTCTTAAGTGCCCGTGTAACTGACAAAAAATTTGAAAAATTTTAGGGTGAAACGTGTTCAAAATATTTCGAGATTCCATATTTTTTGCTAGTTAACACAATTATAGAAATAGAAACGATTCTTCCTTAACCTATAGTTCTGGAACTTCTGTGTTTTTGTTTTCAAATGAAAATTATTCCATTCGTTACTTTTTCTCGACACGAAAATCAATTCTCTTTAATAAAAGTTCGTTCTTCATTTTTTTTAAATTTTAGTTCCGGTTGTTACAAATTTAATATTTGCATAATTAATGAGAGAATAAACATTAAAATCGAAGGATTTCTACTTCATAAATATAAAATGCAAGAAACCATCACTATTGTAAATTGGCGGACAATACGTTTGCTATTTCGGAGCCTCCAACCATTATATCTATGAGGGGACAATATAGGCTGCAGTTTCGACACAATTTATAGGGCACAAAACATGTTTTCAAACTTACAAGTTTTATCATATTACAGTAATTAGAATTCTAAAAAAACCGGTAATCATATAATTAATTAAAGAAAATGTAGCGCAAGGGGGCAAAACAAAGTTGATCTACTCAGGAACAAGATATGTCGCTCAAAAAATTATTAGCTTCCTATGTGTAAATCATCCTAAAACATTTAAATTTCATAATGATGAATTTCGTTGTATTGTCAATAAAAAACTAAATTCAAAAAAATGCTGTTTAAATCGAAAATGGAAAAACTAGAAACGGATGAAGATCTCGTCTTTCTCTTTTGTAGAAATAATAGTGAATGAAAGTTTTCTCGATTTCCACAGCTCATCATTACAATTCCTGTCACATCAATTAATTAATGTGCGTTCGGTTCTTATTTACGATAAGAGTGATGAGATGAGACTTCGGGAGATCAAGTTCTTGTAAAATTTCACCAATGAAAGTTTTAATTGACTTAAATCGATTCAACTTTGTTAATTTATGTGCAATTCTGATTTGTTCGGTATTCACTTAATTGAATTTCGGTATAAAATTGCAGATTACTTAGACAGCTCTATGAACCCTAAAATGTATGCATCGAAGTTATTTTCTCTAATTAAAGTGTGGAAAATAATGTAAACAGTGTAAAAATGGAACTCACGCCAGCGTTTTAAAGAAATCAAAGTGACTAGCATAAAATTGATGTAATCACACGCGAATGGCAATAGCAGTTTTATTTATTGAAATGAGTTGAAGGAGAACTTGTGGTGTAGTTCTCCAGTGGTTAGACCGCTGCCAAAGTAAAACATTCCATGAAAAGATTTAAATTATAAAAAAAATCGTAAAAGAAGAATTTATTAAAAAATAATATTTTAGAAGGTGAGGGAAGAAGGATCGTTAGAGAAGGATACAGATACGTTAGTAAAAGTTTTTCTAATACAATAGTCGACGGTGACCTGAAAAATGAAAAGAGTGCAAGACAGTGATAATGATAGTGACATAAACAACAAAACGAAGAGTGTAAAAAGGAGGCATGCTTATATTTCACACATACAAATGAGTACATTGCTTTCTTATAAAATTATATACATAAACAACTTAACTAACAAATATATACACAACACAAAGGAGGTGGAACAAAGCGAACCCCAACGAAATTGAATAAACGGGACAATAAGACGATCACGGGACGTTCACAGAATTTATTCAATCTCGTTTAGCTAAGCTACAAGGACACCAAAACCCCATGTAATAAACAGATCCTCACCCTCAACATTAACCTCAATATCTTCGAGTCTTCCAGGATGATTAATGAGTAAAGTGCTAGGCCTGTGCACAGGCCCCGGCCCCGGCAAAGTAACACTGGGTCCATTTCCTCCTCCTCCTACACTAACAATTAAAGGACATCCCACCACAGGTCTCTTATTAAAAGCAACATTCACAACGTGGTCACAGGCCTCCGCTGGCACGAAACTCACTGCAAACCTCGCGTTGCCTTGCGGGTGCACTTGCGTGGGGATGTTCAAACCCCTGGCACTTATGGTTATCTCCAGGTTGCCTTCTCCTGCCTCACTGGCATCAACCGAGAAGGTCACAGGCCGGCCTACGGTCCCTCTGGCCACCGTCCCCACCGTGACCTTATTCGAGTCAAAGGCCTTGGCTATGAACGGCGTGCCCTGGACGGGTCTCCCGTTGTAATCTACGCTGATTTGGTGCGCCCCCACCTGGGCTGGGGTGAACTCGGCGGTGAAGCCCGAGTGGATGTCCCCGGTGACTTTCACTGGAAGCTCCCCGATGGGGCCGCGCACGGCCACGGCTAGTTCTGCGGCGCCGCCCCCAGCCACCCCCATGTGGAAAGAGCTGGGCTGGTTTACGGGGACGAGCTCTAAGTGGGATAAGCTGAGGGTCACTCGACTGGTGTCAGACACCGAGCAGACGAAAGGGCATCCTCGGACGGTTTCGCCGTTGAATTTGATGTCGATAAGGTGGGGTTTCGCTTGGTCGGGGGTGAAGGATACGAGGCAGCGGCCGCCGCCTACCACCTGGACGTGGTTCGGGACTTCTCCTTCGTTGATGGAGATTTCTAACTGGCCTTCGCCGGCCTGACTTGCGTCCACTAAAAAATGAGAAATTGTTAATGGAAGTGGTACTCGAGGAGATTATTCGATTTGGTTGTAATATCCTCATTTTTATGGAGAAACTCTTAAGTTGTTGGAATAAGGAAGCCAGGCATGTAAATAATGTAATACTGGTAATTGTTTGGGATTAGTAAATTTTGGGCTTGTAACCACTCTCTGTAACTTTATGTTAAACTGATCAGGTTAATGTTAGCACCTTTTTAATTTTCATAATTTACGTATTGTTCGAAGGAAAATGATTAATCCATAATGCATAAGTTTTTTATCTAAGGTAAATGATTTCAAATGAACTCTTTTCTATGAGAATATAAAAACTGAACTTGAATATAGAGCTTGCAGAAGTGTCAACTAAGAAAATTCCATTAGATACTTTCTTCTAAAAATGTTTTTATGAATCTCAAGAACTTATATAATATGGTTGTCGTTCAGTACTGTACTTTCATATTTTTTTCCAAGAACCTTCAGACCATTTAGTTTAATAATCACTGACAACATAATAATTTCTGCCAAAAAATATCTGCATTCAAAAATATCAAAACTCTTGATTGCCTTGCAGTTTCATTTAACAATAAATGTTTCCCAATGGTGGTACCGAGAACAATATATTGTGCAAACTATTTATTCATAGATATGTAGATCTATTTAAATGACCATTAAAAAGTATAATGACATACAAGGTAATAATAGTACCAATCTTCTAGCAAAACAAGTACCGATGAACACTTTTGATTTCCCAGGCTGCATTTTGCAAGACCAAAATCAAAAAATTTATATAAGTAAGTTAAAATATGGAATCTGCCTATCTTTTTTTTGTTTTGTTCAGAATTCCTACGGCTAAAAACGCACCTTAGTCGTTTTTCAAGTTCTTAAAAGCCGGTTAATTTTACAATAAGAAAGCAGGTACTACCAGAAAAATCGCGGCTTGATGAACGAGTCAAGGATACAGAAAGACGGTGGAAAGGAAGTTGCAGCTTTTGCACAAGACAACACGGACACATTTAAAGCTTTCCTAGCACTGAACAAATATTCATGATTTCCTGTGAGAATGAGGATATTGCAAACAAGATGGAAAATCTCGTTTCCTTTTATTTTGATGTCAAGTAATAATTTGACAAGACTTTTGCGAAAGGATGAGATGCAAATGTAGAAAACAAACACGAATAAAGTAAACATATGTTACAATGACTTATCACGAACAATACATACTTTCTATAATTATTACTGCACCTGAAGAATTTCAAGGTGAGCTTAAGATTTTGGATCAGTGGGTAAGTCAACATTTAGCTAAGAAAATATAAATGGAATCACTAACTTACCAATGAAGGAGAGTACCCTCTTCCTATCGAGTTATAGTCATAACTGAAGATTTTTGAGTACATTTGTTTTAGCTGGGTGATTCCATTAATATTAATCCACGAACATAAATAAAACAAATCTCAAAACTTTCACAAAAGTCGTATCGGAGTAAATCACACAACTTACCTCTAAATTGGACAGGTTGACCTACAACCCCTCCGCTGACATCGGCCACTTGTATTAACCCCGCATCGTAAACTTTAGCGATTAAAGGCCCCGAAGGTAACTTGTCTCCGTTAACAGTAACTTCAATAATGTGAGTACCAACTTCGGTCGGTACGAACTCCACACTTTGCACTCCGGTTCTGTTTCCCGGTAGTACTCTGGCCTGCACCGCCCTTTTACTCGGTGAAATAACGTGCACCATCAAATCGTCCGGTGCTACATTGGTACTAGTAATAATTTCAAAAACTGCCGAGGTGTTGGCCGGTACTAGCCGTGTCGTTTCTCCCAAAACCGACAGATTCGAGTTCGACATGATGTTTACATGCCAGGGACTTCCTTAAAAAGCACAAAATTCTTCGTTAACCCACGAACATAGTCCACTTTGGTTCGATACGACACATTGCACGGTACCACACTTCGCGCGATCGTGACAACGTTCGGTTGTGGTTTTATGTAAGAAAAGAGAGTTTTCTTGAGAGGTCGCGAGATTAAAAGTCGGACGTCGACAATGGTAACGCGATGACTGGGTACTACTCTTGGATAGGAGCTGTGGGCAACACAATCAAGTAGGCGGGGTGAGAGGCGAGCGACATTCCTACGCTAACTACAGGTAAACTCGCCAAAGCAGTGGCGTGCGACGGAATGGACAGCTGAGAGAAATTTACATCTTTCGCAATAAAATGACCGCGCGTCCTCAAGCAGTACCAAAAGCGGCGAGATTTCCGCAGCGCGTTTTTGCGATTACGGGCCATCAGACACTATTCTTACGGCTTGTAGTTGACCATTAGGAAGTCATTAAACATTCTAATGTGTGAACTGGCGCTTGTCGCTGTCGCTACGCCATTGATCGGAAAATATTGTTTGTCGTTCCGGTTGCCGGCCATCGCAATGCTTCACTGGTCTCGGAAACATACATATAATCACATCTATTCAAATTTCCTGGACATAAACAAACGCGTTGCATCGCGATATTCCAAAAATGAGTAAAGACCAAGTGGGACGTTGAACTTAAAGTCGTACCCAAGTCGTACCTGCGCAGGTACAGATGAAAGCGGAAAAAGGAGAAATAACTGAATGTGGTGGCATTTAATTTTAGTCACGTTGTTGGCGACTGGAAAAATGCTAATTATTCAGAGAAGGATTTGTAGAAACCATTGCGAATTTTGAAAGAACGGCTTGATTGTTTTCCGGGAACTGATTGAGACATGGTTGTGTATTTGCTTTAAATAATTTAATTTCGTTGGCGGATACGCAAATGGTGTTAATTAATCTTGCCAGGATCGGCTTCGGCTCTGAATCAGACCACTGAGAGAGATTTCTGAGGTCATCGGTGAAATTCTTTACATTGTTGTTCAAATTGTTTATTGTTGAGGTGCGTGTATGTGTGGCAGGCCGCTACTAGGTCATAGAAATGTGCAGATGCTTATATAATGTTTTCTTTCATAGTTCTATAAAAGCGTAATAATTTACAAGTTTATTAAAATGAATTATATGTTAATTATCTTGCGCAACCACCGCTTGACTGGAAAATCTTGTCTCTGGGTTGTTAGCATGCTTACTATAATTGCTTCAGAATGCAAATGCAGTGATTTTACAACACAAGGAAAAGTAATTAAAGCATAGTAAGTCAGAGGGCGTTTGAGTTGGTATGAAGAAGTTGACATTTTGTGTTATGCAAGTTGTAGATTAGTCACATGCGACTTTTTGACTTTTCGAAGTAGATAAAGATTATAAGAGTAGGTTTTTTAATTCTGTGTCATTGACTTTGACATATGGATAAAAATACCAGTCTTTGGAGAAAATGTATCATCTGCTGAAAACAGAATACTTAAACTTCAGCATATACAGGGTGAATCTCTTCCGATCCTTGATAATGCATTAATTATTATTATTAGAGATACAAAAAAAAAATACTGACAAAAATTGTACGCTTCTTTGAGGAGCATAGATTAAAATTATTTTCGGCTATAGAGATAAGTATTTTGTCGGTCGTTTTTTCACATATGACACCTAAATATTTTTTCATTAGCCTCTTCCTAAGCATTATAACCATATTTTATTTTTGAAATTCTGATGCGACGTTGCCACGTTATTCCAATATTCTTGATTTTGTTAGCAAAATCTAAAACCTTATAATTTTCAAATGTGAATATGTCAGCTTATCAAATAGAATACCTGAATTTATCACTACATGTTACTCTTTTTTTTTGTTCCCTTTTTCCAATATGTTGGTGTGCCTCTTTAACTTTATAAAAAGGAAAGCGAACAAAAACAAAATAAAATACTGACTTTTCATTAAGTAAAACAAATATCACCTAGGTACTAATTCGACTTTTTAATCACCGTTTATGAAGCTGACATAAATGATAAAAATAATATCAACACCAATTTTCTGACAATTCTTTACTGATGAAGTAAGACCACGATTTGCTAGTTCTGAATTTAACTCAGTAATTATAAAGCTATGAAGGATATCATTCAATTAGTTTCTTAATCGTATCTACATCTTCTCACGGTCATTAAATTTCAAGCCTACTATTAACATCAACTTCCTGTTTTATAAAATCCGGTGCTGTCTAATAATAACTAATATAATAAGATAACATTTTCTTTTCTTTTTGTTGGTACCATACATCCTGAAGTCTTTACAAATAATATCTTACTGTTGAATCAAGATACCGATCTATAATAAGCCACATCTATGTACTTTCTTTAAAAATAACATCAAATTCTCTGATCGGATAGAGTTAAAATTACAGCTTACGTTTGATAAGGTATCAATTATATATATCAGATTATAAGCAATGTCTTAAATATTTAGGTTTTAAATTACATTAATATCACTATCACTCAGGTGTTTGTCAAGGGTCGAATCTAGGACCTCTCATTGTTGTAATCTTGATCAGTGATTTAACTTCATCGAATATTAGTGCTGATTTTGAATACTGTACGCTTATGATATGGAAACTACGTTAGTCATTAGCATTGTTATATTTCACAGGCACGATACGATGAACATAAAAATGTAGGTATCATATTTGACTCATCTTTAACATTTATTCGACGTCTGATTATAGTTATAATAACACATAAAATGTCGAGTTCCGTAATCGAAAATACCAGAGTCTGTACATTTAAATTCCTTGTATATTTTGTTTCTTGTTTATGTTAGTTTGATCCAAATTAAATAATTTAGATAAGTTCGCTGCGGCATATTTAGAGAAAATTTTATATACTTACATTTATTTGAAAATTTATAATTTAAAGCCATCCATACACTTTTTACTAAGGAGATGGTATAAATTTATTGTTACCTACATTCTTACTACTCCAGAATAAGCTAAGGAAGTATTGTAACAGGGTCCATCTGAAAAATAGCTACTTTCATCTATTTTTGACGTTTCATAACCCTTGAATACGAGACAATAGGTCTCCCGTTTCCGTTTGCCTCCTGTCTATGAGTCTATGTCAATTTTAGCTATTCTCCGAAACTATTGGGCCGATTGTTGTTAATGTTTAAATGTATCTTAGGAATATCATGCAGACGATAAAAGGGTGACCAAATTATATGTAATATTTCAAAATAGGTATCAATGCAGTAGGCCATGATTTAGATTTACTTACAAAAAAATAATTAGATCTCCATTTTATACGTTTGAGGTTATGACTTAAAAGAAACGATAAGTAAGAATTTCATGATAACATACGCAAACTGTCTCTCGTTCCCTTTTATTAAAAACGGCATTGCTGTTATTACAAAATTTGTTAAAATAAGTAAATTCAAAACGATCGTTTTGAAATAAATATTATCTAGTTATCCCCGGCAACAATATGATGACGTCATTTCAAAATGTAAAAGTAATCAAACGCAATAGTAAAAGTTAACTAAATTTTATAAAATAACGTACTTCTATACTTGTGCTTTATGAATCTGTCTTGATTTTTAACCCTAGACATTCAGAAATGTATCCGTTTTTTCCTCGCCCTATCCAAAAGTTAATATCTAAAATGTGTAAAATATTATGTGTGTATATTTGTTAATTAATACATTCATGCTTTGTATATTTACATACTTATACAAGGTGACTCAAAAAATGAATGAATGGAGCACTTTATTTTATTAATCAAATTAAGAACGACTCATCCCAGTTTTTCCAAAAAGCCGTATATGTTGTATTATACTTCAGGGGCGAGGTAAGTTCTGTCTAAATAACCTTAGATTAATTTGTCGTGATAGTAATTTAATAAGTCAAATTCAAATCTGTATTCTAGATCAAATTTAAGACATTCTTGGACCTTTTCGGGATTATGTATGTCTATTTCCTGGAGGTAAATCGTATACTAAGACAGTAATAAAAACTCGATCAAATACAACCATGTTTTTTTTGGAAGTTTATCTGTCGTCGCCAAGACAAAAATTATATCAAAAACAAATTTTCAAAAATCCATGGTTGACTTTAATCGTGTTTTTATTGCTCCCTCGGTACATATGTTATGTTTGTTTCTCTCTTTAACGGTATTGTTATACAGGTGACCAAAAAATGAACTCAAAAAAATGGTTAAATAATCCCTGCACCAAACTTTTGAAAAGATGAAACGTCACAGTTGAAGTAATTCTGATTAATTATTAATAATTTACTACTCCTAATAATTTACTCGAACACGATCCACAAGATCATTTTTTACTGTGAGAAGATGTCATTTGTTAAAAATTCGCAATTTTAGACTGTCAATTAAATCCACATCAAAATATATCAGAATTCCGAAGTTATTTCTTCAACTTTGAAATTTAATATTTTCAAAATTTGGCTCATGGATTTTGTTAACCATTTTTTTCCGTTTTTCAGAGCCTTCTTAACAACGTACGGTCAAGCTTATTCGTAATTTTTTGATCACCCTGTATGTTCTGGTTATTATTAAAAAATTAATTAAAAGCAGTATGCTTTTTTAACCAATCGTTATTTCATGCTTCAGTTATTTTGGGCATTATTTTAATAACCGAAAAAAAACAGGCATCTATTTTTACAACTTACTAAATAACATGTTATTACGTTATATTTTGCCTTTTTTTTTAATATACATAGTCATCTTTTCACAACAAGAAACTTAAAACATGCTTAAAATGGTACATTTTTCCAAGGAAAGATAGATTTTGCAATTATGAGGCGGAGTCGAATTGCAAAATCGATATTTCCTTATACAAAGTTAAAATTTTAAACATATTTTAAGTTTCATGTTGTGAAAAGAAGTCTACATATATTAAAACAAAAAGATAAAATATAAGCCCGCCCGCCCGCCCTATCTCCATTGTGATGAATCTTATCTGCAAAATACTTATGTCCTTACAAGAAATTAAAAACATGTTTTTGAGTATCGTGTTGTTCAAGGAATACTGTGTATATTAAGAAAAAAGCCAAAATATAAACCCCCCCGCCCACCCAATCTCAATATTTTTTTTATTCTTAGAAACTTAAAACACAGGAAACAGTGATTTTGTAATTAGGCTCCGTCCCTAGGTCTGTCAACGAATGAAAACTGCATTACTATTTATATCAGGTCAGATATGGGTGGGGCTTAATCTTTGGCTTTATATACATACTCGTAGTATTCTTTGAACAACGCGATACCCAAAAACATGTTTTTAATTTTTCGTCGAGAGTTAAGGATTCTGCAGTTAACCTCTGCCCTCTCGGCTCATAGGGCGGGTGGGCGGGGCTTATATTTTGTCTTTGTTTTTATAAGAATATACATAGCCATCTTCTCACAACAAGAAACATAGAACATGGTTAAAATAGTACATTCTTGTAAGGAAATATGGATTTTCCCATTATCTTACTAATATCGGGTACTTTCAAACTATTAAATTTTGTGTAAATGATACTACTTGACTTGGCCTAACCTAACTTGATTTGCAACAGTTCTTTTGAAAATTCCAACAAATATCAAAAATATCTGCTCCTATTTTTTTCCTTTGAGGTCTAGATTTTTGGAAAAATCAAAATTTTACAAGAAAATTTTAAAATGTACATATATATTTTTAGAAAATGGAAAACTGACTTCTAAAACCTTGCAAATGCTTTAAAATTGTCGTAAACTTGGTAAACCGCTGTTCGTCCCCTTTAAAAGCTCTTTTGCTGAAATTTGAATGACTCAAGGAAAACTTCAAGGCGGGTCTATAAACCACAAGTATGTTATTTTATAAAACTTAAATCCTATTTTCTAAAATATCAGTTTGTTGTTGGGGATACTTGTTAGACACATTTTAGTTAACGGTAAGATTCCTAAAATACACAAAAATTTGACAACAATCGGTTTAGTAGTTTCGGAGATCATCTGTAATTAAAATCGACACAGACGACAGACATTTAGAATCAGGAGACTTATTTTCTCGTACTCTGGGGGTCGTGAAAATTCGAGAAAATATGAAAATTCGCCGGATGAGTTCTATTACAACACTTCTTTAGCTTATGATTTATGAGTAGTGGTTCCTATAGACCATATTCAGAATAAATAATACATGCCTCGGAAGTATAAATAACCAGAAGCTCATCTGCTTTTTGTTTTAAGATTATTCACCATGGAACAATGTTAATTAATCACTTAATCAGGTAGCTAATAATAATTAAAAACAATGAATTATTAAAAACGGTGTTACATGGGAAAATCTTACTAGTACATATTAGTAAACTAGTTTGTTGAACTGTTATATTTCTTCTGTAGTTATTATTATAATAATTATTATTCCATTAACAATTACGTAACTTTGATTTGAAGAAATAAACATTTTAATTTTAATTTACTGACGAAAAGTTTTAGTGTCCTACATCTTTTTTGTCATGCAGTTTTAATGATAGTAACAGTTTAATTCTTAATGATCCTAGACTAACGTTTGTAGTTGAGGGTACTACCAAAAAACATAAGAAAATGTTTTTCTATATCACATAAAGAACATATATAATATATAGTAGAATTCTTTTAATTTTGGCAAGATGTTGTAAAACGGTATGTTTCTGTTTCTGTCTTCGATCGACAGACTGCATTTACGCAGTATGCGTTTCCGCCCTAAAATGGTAAGAAGTGGCATTATTTACTTATGTAAATATAATGTGTCAGACAGAGATAGAAATAGAAACATACCAGATGTTGTAAATGGACCAGCTTTACAACACGCCAAAATTAAATGAATTCTCTGTAACTGATCTAAAGGCATTTCTATATCTCGGTATTGTTTTTTTATATTACTCGAAAAATAATTCTCAGGTAAATAAAAAACAGGTTATGACTGTAAACTAGTGCAATAAAAATTGCAGACAAGAGGTTCTTATTTTTTACTACGAACTTATTTTTGATAATTAAACTTGAAACTAAACTGAAACGCAAAATGCGTTGTATATAATCAACATTTTGTAAATCTAATTGTTTTAGGTTAAACAAAACAACACGTAGGCACACAATTTACACTCAGTTGACGCCACAGTGAATATGCATGCCATAATGAGTAATTGGCCCTTTTCCTGTAAGCAAAGTGATTAGACATTATATAAATTCCAGTGATACAGAGTGAGACAACATCGCGCAGGCGAAGTCAGATTTTTGGAGCGCCAAATTAAAATTAACCAATGAGCGACAGATTACGCATGTGTTTCCGGTTGCATTCTGTCAAAGCGGTTTGTTGTCACAGGCCTTTGCTCTGCTGCCGGAGTGCCGGATACTATTTCCAACGTGGTTTAGAAGATGCGTGCGCACGGAAAGTCACTATGGAAGTTTTACGATCTTACAGGAAAAGGGTCAATTATAAACCCACACTGCACCATACACAAATATCGACAAATTGATCAGCAATTACAATTAATCATCAAATTATTGAAGCAAACACCTACTGAAGCATATGCACATTTCTTACTATAAATATACAGTTCAAGTATACACCTCTTTAGCCGACCCTGGATTTACATGAAAAAGGTAGGTTTACAAAAAAAACATAATTTGCATAATAAAAATAAAACCCACGCTGGACACCACGTCATAAACAACAGTAAACATAACTTCTTCTAGAAACATTCGCCAACATATGGTTCAACCGTTATAAAGATCGTTTCCGTATTGGGAATAAAAAAATCTGTGTACTTACCTGGCACCGTTTCACCGTTAAACTTAATGTCAACACGATGTGGCAGAGCTTGATGCGGTGTGAACGCAGCTTTAAATCGTTGTCCCCCTAGACTTCTAACACTGGAAGTAACGCGGCCTCCCTCAACCAGAATTTCCAAATCACCGGAACCGGCACCACTTCCATCAACTAAAAACATTTTCGTTTATTAATGTACTTGTAGCAATATTTTTTAAGATAGTACTTTCGAATTCTACAGGCTGTCCTAAAACTCCGTCAGGTACGGGTTGTACTTTAACAGCAGCAGCGCCCCCATTTCTTACAACATTTCTATACCCTGAAGGCGAACGTCTGTCGTATTTGTCTCTTTCCCCATAGATATCTATGTTGTTGGAGTACTTCTGTGATGACGTGTAGTTGTGTTCCTGTGAGAAAACTTTATTATGTTCTTCGACTTTTCTTCTGCGCAAGTCTGCATCTAGCTGTGAATCTGTTAAATTGGCCACTGATTCCAAACTTCGTTCAGAGAGGATATTTCGAGTTTTGGCAATGGCATCCCAGGAATCTCTTCTAGCAGAAGACTGATCGGTCAGAGCAGAAACCTTAACAATAGGACTAGTATCTATGCCATCGTTCTGATCGAACGAATTCGTGAAGGTTCTACTTTCGTTGACGCGTTTTTCGTACCGCAAGCTGTACCCAACATCTGGACTAGACCTTTCTACGAAATTCGGGCTTCTGGAATCAGAAATCCTCATGGAAGACATCTTCGATGTATAGTTGGAGTCGTACTCTGCTTTTTTGGCAAAATTGGGACTAGCAGTGTCGAATCGTTTCTCGTTTAACCTCCTACTACTAATATAATCAGGGCTATCAGATCTGTTGTAACTGGGACTTTGAGTTCGTTGCATGTAACTTGGACTATTAGTCCGATTTAAGTAACTAGGACTACTTGTGCGATCGTTAAAACTGGGAGAATTTCTTTTTTCTGCCAACGACATCTTGTGGTAGTCCTGGGCATACTTATGTGTCTCGCTCATTACAGGACTTGCATTTTGTCTATAGTTACTATAACTGGAGTTCTTTACGTGATTGATTGGACTAGAATTTGAGTAACGACTAGTTGGACTTTGTCTGTATGTGGAATTAGGACTGGGACTGCTCGAGGATTTTGAACGTTTCTGCGTTCCAACCCTCATCATGAAAGGTGAACCCTTGACGTCGTAGCCGTTAAAGTAAACATACACGCGATGTTTTCCGACGTCTTTTGGGGTGAAGTGGATTCTGTAAAGAAGACCGGAGGAGTTGACTCGTTCGACCCTACAGTGTACTGAACGTTTGTCGTGGACTATGTCGGCGTAGACTTCTCCTGGTACTCCCACTGCTCTGCAGTCCAAGTCTATGCTGTGTGGTACCAATGGTAAGGCTCCTTCTAAACCGGAAACTTGGACGCCGTTTGGATCGAAGACTGAGCATGTGAAAGGACCGCCCTGGAAATAAAGTCAAATTATATTTGATTGTACTTTTTTATGTAAATATTAACTAGCTCGCTAGAACTACAATTAATCACTGCATAAAATTGAATAAAAAAAAAATGATCTGAAAAAATAGATTGGCTGTGGTACCGCAAACACGATATTATAAAAATTAAATGTTCTGAAACTCTCTCTTCAGCAGGAACCAATTTGTATAACCTTGCGGAGGCGCTAGATGATTAATACGATTTTACTTCATTTTTAAATTTATATTTTGTAATTGCTTGTAGTATCTTATGTTTTCATAGCCAAACATGCAAATAGGCCTTTTATAAATTCTTTATAGATTTAAAAGTCATTCACAATAAAACTCGTTATCTCTTGTCACCAAAAACCGTTGCTGCAATAGTTGAAAGTGGTGAAATGATGCCTGACTCATTTTAAATAAGGATTACTCGAAACAACTTTATTTTGGGTTACAACATCTTAAAAAAGAAAGAAGATTGTAACCTACTTATTTAAAGGTGAGATTCTCGTTTTAAAAGCGATGAATAAAGTTTAAAAACTGTAGGTGTAGATTTTCAAATTAAATTTGCGCATGTTAAAAGAACTGTTGTTATTGAAGATTTATCTTCCATTTCTTCGGCATCAAATTTCATACCACTACTGACGTTTCTGTAAATAACATTTAATAAATTCCAAACTTTTATTTTATTAAAATGACTAAAATGTTTAATTTTGGAGCAAATTGTAAATGAACATTATTTTCTTGGTTGCAAAATTCTTTTATGTGTTCTTTTTTAACTACATCGCTTAGTAAATTCTATATATCAACAAAATGATCCGTTAACTGAATTCTTTTGTTCTGCACCAAACATTGTTTAATATTCTTTAGTAAATGTGGACCATCCGCTATAAAGTAAATTTTGTCCCCACTTAGTGGGTTTATTGTAAAGTTTTTGGTAACTCTTTGTTTGTTTGTTTTTCGGAGTTTATCTGTCTATCAAAAATCGTCACGGACGGCGGACAGACAAACAAACAGACAGACAGATAGACAGACATCCAGAAAATATGAAAGTAGGCAACCAGTCGTTCGATGGAGTCCTTAGCTTGCGTTAGGGAAGTAAGTTAAAACTGTCCAAAATTTGTTAATAAAAATTACATCTAATGCAACAAATTTTCAAAATATCTGTCTACATTTACTAAACCGTGCTGGACTCAATTACAGCAAGATTGTCTAACCCGAGTTAAAAATTTTGGAGTTACCGAACTGCAGCCAGTTACAATTTTTTCCATTAGATTTTCTCTACTACAAATTGGCGTATTGTGTAATGAATTTTTGATAACTGCTAACAATCGAGCGGTCAGTGATGGGTACTTCCGCTTCCTATCCATCTATCACCAAATAACTGATCTTATATTTAGCATGCTGTGGGGTGGTGCTCCATCTTGTAGAAACCAAATTTGTCTTAAAGCATTTATCACTAAACGACATAATTCAAAAAATTATTAATTATCCATATATTTTTTTTTCTGCATGAAATTACAAATTTCTATGCGCCGATTTTTTTAAGAACTTGCACAGGAAAAATGTGATTGGGATGGAGTCAGTTTGTTGTTGACTTGTGTGAAGGCCTTTTTCTGCAATTACTTGAGGTTGGTTTTCTTCATTTGTTGCCGTTTTTGGTCTTTTTTTCTGACGGTTTTGACCATTTTTCCCTTAATGTGCTCTCAAGTTTTTGACAACTTTAGTCCACAGGATTTTTTTGTCGGAATACTTTCCACTTTATACAGGGTGAGTCACTAAGCACGTGTTCTTTGATATCGCATTGTTTATTAAAAATATAAAAAAAGTCAAATACCAAAGTTATACAGTTTTTTGATGACTACTCTAAAACTATTTTTAACAATACAGAGTGTACAGACGTAACTTAATTTTATTTTTAATGAAATTCCCTATGTATTTAAATATTTTGGTTGACTTCTTCTTAGACTTTAGTAGTACAGTGTATTTTTGAAAATCCAGTACGACGTTGCCACGTTATTCTAACAACTTTCGTGACATTTTTTAATAATGGAAGGGTTAAAAAAAATCGCAATATTGTTATTTTTGAAATCAGTGTCACAATATTTTGTGGAGAGATAAATAAAATACAATTTTCATATACAGAGTGTTTAAATAAAAAATTAATTACAATTGTTAAATATGGATATTTCAGTTTTTACTGTGATATTTTAAGAGACACATCGACATATTAGAAAAATGAGAACAATAAATAAAGAAAGATACAGTAAGAAAATACAGGTATTTGAAAAAACTGAAATATCGATATTTGAAAATTGTGAAGTTTTAGATTTTTTTTTAAAAACACTGTATGTTAAAATTCGATTTAATTGGTACCACAATTTTAGAGTATATCTAGTTAGTAGTCAGTACATAAAATGTTGACAAGTTCTAATTCCATTTTGTAATGGGGGATATTGTCGAATGTATTGAGAAAATGTTTTTCTGTTGATAATATAAGTCCAGGCCATTTCTATACGTCCACTTGATAAAAAGTAAGGTTGGTTACACTACCTTGTTAGCGTTTTTTGTTCAATACGGTTGACAACGACGAGATTTGACGTTTTATTTATTATTGTTTTTATTTATTTATTATACGGTCAGTTTGAGTTTTTTCGAAAAAATTACAAAATTTCAATTTCACTTATCATTGCGTTCAAGTCTTTTGACATTTAAAAGAATTTGTAAACGTTTTAATCTCACTCAAGTTTTACAGCATTTTGTCCCCTAAAATCGGAAAAAAACACCTTACACGTAACAATCCACTGAAGCGTGGATATGTAGAAAGGCCCTGAACTTTAATAACGTAAGTCAACTGTAAATTATATCTGATGGTTTTAGAATTTAAGCCAAAGGGACAAATTTTGGTTTTTCGCAATCGTTATAAATTTAACCACAGCACTGCGAATTTCAGAATTTATTTTTTCAAGTGAGGTATGATTTTTGAAAATATTTCTGTAAATTCTATTCTAAACAGAATAACGCGAGAACATTTCGAATAAACCAAATTCTTTTGAACAATATTCGCAACTGCGTTGTTATGTAAGTTGAATTTTTTTAAAGACAAAAATCATCTATAAAATCTTATTTTTGTCTCATAAATAGATACAGAAAAAGAATTACTGTTGATTTTGTCCCAAACTACAACCAAAATGAAACAGTGATTAAGACCGGATTATCCAAAAAGGTTTTAATTTAAAGTAAGTCATAGAAACATTGTTCATATTTTTGTTTAAATCTCTAAATGTCAAAAATACAGAGGAGAAAACATCTTACTGACAACATGGCAGTTAACATTTTGAATAATTTTATCTCAAAAAGTTATTGAAAAATGTGATAAACAAATGTGCTGCATTTGTAAAATAAATCGTGTGTTCTAATTCAATATCCAATATCAAACAAAAATTTACGAAAACTGAAAATGGCTTCGAGTTCCTCTTCAGAGTTCATGAATAATGTTTTGAAGAATATGAAGGGAATTTCTACTCACTAGCTTCTTTGGAATTCCAAATCTTGCAAATACTTGTCATAATTTATGAATTGTTTCTTGAGAATTCACAGACTTTACGTCAAATATTTCAGGGCATTTAGTGGAAGCAGAGACAATTATTAAAAAATGTGAATTTTCAAATGATCTACATGAATGGTTTATGAACCTGTCTTCAAGTACTCGTATTTAATTGTGCGTTTTCTGATTCTGATCTCAATTTAGAGCATGCATTACAATTTTGAACTTATTTTTCTATATCACTATTTAAACCTGGCCACAAAAAAATCCCGCTTTATTTTTCATTTTAACAATACCTAAATGACTACTCTGAGGTCCTCTTAAAATCGGCTCTGTAAATTTTTTTGGTATTATTATTCGAAATCTCCACATTTTTCCTGTTTCAATTGTTAATTCATTTCTCCTATTATAAAATGATTTCACTTAACCTCATAGCAAGTATAAAGCGTATTATTTTACTAATTTCAGGGTCTGTCCTTGATTCTAATCTTATTAAATTCGAGCTTGGTAACAGATAATCTATTTTCGGTAAAGTTCAATTAAGTAAAATCACTTTCATCAAATTGTTCTGTGACAGATAAAGATAAACAAGACAGTTATATTTTTCTTTCCTTAGTATGTAAAATACGAGTATCATAATTAAAACTTGCTAAATATAAATACCATCCCTGCAGTCTATTAGTAGTCACTGGTAGCATCCCCTTTTTGTCACCAAATTAATAATAGTCTATGATCTGTAACAATGTAAAATGTCTACCTACTATATATTGTTACGTTATACGAGTGAATAAAATCGGAGTCGGTTAAACTCAACAATTGATTTCTTAATAACTCAAATTTACACTAATAATTCCGGCGCAACTTGACTGAATTCGTTCACTCGCTGACTGAATCAATTGAATAATCTCGTTCCCGAAGGTGGCCTCCATGTAAACCCATATTCCCTTCTCGATGTTCCGCAATTGAGGTCTTTCTCGAATCCGTCGTGACTTCCGCTTCCAGGCCTTTCTTTAGCGAACGCTGCCCGGCTAAATACTAGAACCCATAGGCATCGTACATACCGAGGCGGCGTATGGGTTACCTTCGTAACAATATTAAGAAAATTTTTTAAATGCAAAATAAATAGCTAAAGCCTATTTCTTTGATAAATTATACAGGGTTGCTAAGAAGTATGAAAGCAGTTGAATATATATGGAACTTTTAGTTGGATTTTCTTGAAATTTGTGTTATACTTTAAAGTACTCAAGCTCTATTTTCTGTAATTTTCTTTTTAAACTTTAAACTTCGTTTGTTTTCAAGATATAAAGGTAACGTGATTTTGTACTTCCCGAGCGTAAGCAAAGGAAGTATTGTAATCGAGTCCGTCGGCCGACTCTCTACTTTTACGTTTTCTCGACATTTGATGATCCCTACAGTACGAAGAAGTCGGTATCTCGTTTTCGTCTGTCTGCCTGTCCGTCTGTCTGTCTATCATCCCAATTTTTATTAGACAGATAATCTCCGAAAGTACTGGACCGATTGTTGTCAAATGTTTCATTTGTATTAGAAATATCATGTAGATGGTAAAACGCTCCCCACCAATAATGTGATGAAGTCATTTTAAAATTGTGTATAGTACATGGGTTTTAAATTGTATAAAATACGTGTAGTTTATGACTCCGTGTTGAGTTTTTACCAGAAACGTCTAGATTTTTGGAAAAACAAATCAAAATACATTTGCTTATCTCCTACAGAAATAAAACTTGAGTGTTCGTAGCGACAGCCCAAATTTCAAAAAGGTTCAACAAACCATTCTCGCTATATTCAACTACTTCCATACTTTTTAGTGACTAATTTAATTTAATTAATTTACTAAAACAATGCTCCCATTGCAAAGCTGCTAAAAGTCCTTTAACTTTGAATAGGATAATGCACATCTTCTATAAATTTATTAACCGTAATTTGATAATCCACACGAATTCTAAGATTACCATCATTTTTAAAAATAGGAACTAACGATGTTCCCTAAATATTATTATCAATCTTTGCAATGATATCCTTAGTCTCTAGTTTATCTACTTTTTTTTATATAATCGTTCTTTAAAAGCATAAGAAACGAATAGGTTTTACATATTTTTGAACTTTAATTATTGAAATCCATGTAATAATTAATGTAACTCTCCCTTTTGATTAACGTTGTAAACATGAGGATTAGCTCTCTACCTAACAGCGATTGACTTTCATGTTCAACTAAAAAAAATTTCCTGACTTAGCTATTTCTCCAATAGTTAACTTTGCTAAAAAAGTACATTTTGAATTCACTTTACCTCCACTATCTCTAAACCAAACTGCTCCTAACTCAACATAAATATTTTACAATAATCGGGTCAATATTATTAACTGAAATCGATTTTAAAAATTGAAAAAAAATCTCAGTATCACCAGTATCAAGACGTACATTGTTAGAAATTTGCAGTATGTCCAGTCTTGTAACACGAATTACATTTAAAATGTTTAAAACGACATTTTGCAAAATTATGATTATACCGGTTACAGTTTCTGACGTTTTACATCTAAAAATGGAAAGGAAATGGAATGGGTCACGTCAGAATATGTGCAGACTGCAGATATCTCTACAGACCTTCGAATGACATAAAATCTACCATTAGTTGCAGTAAAAAACTTAATTATTATCTGATGACTTATTTTAATAAGTATTTGTGTTTAGTAGACTTCCGGGTTATAAGTACTCGCTAGATGTACACGATGTGTGCTACGAAACCAATGTATAGTTAGTATGCAAACTTAAAATTGCATTAGCAGAAGGCGGACCTTTTCATCTACAACGCGTTTATCGCTAGTAAACATTAATAAAAGCGTACGTAATTTCAAGATCATATGGCTAGTAAACACATCGTAACAAAAACCCAGTGCAGATGTTGTCCTTGAGTTGATTTATAACACAATTATTATGAAAGTGCAGTCAAGTTAAACTTAAGTAAGTCATAGGTTGGTAATACGAATAAACTTTGAACTATCTCACTTTATTACCCCTCATTAGTTATCCAAAGATTATTCCGTTTTCTAAAAATTAAATTACACAGCAAGTTCAAAAGGGCATTACCATTCAGTCAGAATGACATGTGGAAAAGATATGCCATTAGCAATCAATCAAGTCTGATTAACGAATACAGTTTCTTTATGTGGTGTTCACGACGTCAGTACGTCGGGTTCATTATAATAAATATGCCCATCATGGAATTCATGATTCAGATAACATAGGTACTACATACTTAAGTCAATTCATTATAATAATGAATGCAGTACCCTGCGCACTTATAATATAAGATACGAAACTGAGAAGCAAAAAGGACAAAATAGTGCATCGGTACTTTCTAAAGATGATGGTTATTTAATGGTGCAATAAACACAAGAAATGCGATTACTAGTATCTCTATTACTATTATTAATGAGCAAGACTCACCTGGATTTGTTTTCCTTGATACGTAATCTCGATCCTCCATTCTCCGGCTTCATCCGGCTTAAACGTAGCACTATTGGTACCATCGATCGTCTTCAACGGACAATTTAAAGGCCTTCCTGTAGGACTGTACGCCGTCACCAAAATATCCTCCCTTCTGGGTGCTCCTAAACGACCACATCATTAACATTTTAACAAAGCAACAACACAATTTTCAACCTGTGGCATTCACGAGCACTTGAACCAAAGACCCTAAAGCACACGGCGCCATTCCCGGAGGAGCAACTTCCACAAGTTGAGGTAATACGCGGAAATAGTGGCCACTAACAACTTCCTGTCCTTCGTACTTGACGACGATTTCATGCATACCAACTTTCTGAGGCACGAAAAGACCTCTTCCTTGCTTCAGGTTTTTCACCAGGTAGATTTTGTTATCGGGTCCGCGTATTTCAACCGAGACATAGGAATGTGAGAGGGAAGAATCCAAGAGGTTCACTTGGAAGTGCGTCTGCAAGCAATATGTCACTTGAACCGCTAATGCAAAACTGGCTCGTTCGTTATTAATATCGCTGTTGCACTACAACTTTCTTAATTATTATAAAAGTCAAAAGTGTGTCAAGTCGATTTTAGCATTATCGTTGCGTAATAGTGGCTGGTCAGAAAATACAAAGAAAAAGAGCGATTGATGTGTGCAGACTGACATGTGAGTGAGGTTCAAGATCGGTCGTTTATCATTATCAATAGAGAGAAAGTCATAATCGTGGTCACATTTGTTAAACAAACGACAGGAAAGCGATAGTTAAATGACGAAGCGAAGAGTACTACTTTTGGCTAAGTACTCGCAAAAATTTTGTGTGAACGTTCTAGTTAAGAACGACAATAAAACTGAGCGAAAGTGAAAAGTCGTGTTATTTTAAAAATTAAAATAAAACTATTTACATAACATTACAAAAGATTCCGAAACATGATTAAAGGGTAATCTACTGTAGCTAAGTGGTATGTACCATCAAATTGGTGGTTACGGTGTTATGAAGACAAGTTATAGACACGAGTACGAGACTGTGACTTTATAATGACAAGCTTGACCTACTGCATAATTTTATTCCTTAGACAAGTGTGTGTGTGTGTGTCTTTGACTTTGCATTGTATTCAGTAATTACTTTTATTATGTAAGAAGTGTTTGACGGAAGATAGCGTTTTTGGTATTTAGTTCAAACTGAATGTTAACATTTTATGTAATGCAGTTAATAACAATTAATCTGCCAAGAGTTGCAGTCATGAAAGAAAGGATAAATTGTTATGAAACAAAGAGTTGTGGGTTGATACGAGCACAAAAAAGAAGAGAGAAAGGGAAAAGGAGAAGTAGAGAACTCAAAAATGCAAGGAAAAAATATGGATTTATACTAGAATGTATCAGATGTGGTGGAAAGTTCAAACCAAGGCGTTTTTATTTATTATAGACAGTCGGACGACAACAAAATAAAAGGAAGCGGTTTTATTTCCGATTGATTTTAGGATGCGTAGGTTGTACCAAATAAGCAGGAAATCCGTTCAAAGAAGGGAAACGTTTGAAATAAAAATGAAGACGAGGCAGTTAAACGAAAAAATTACGTAAGTGTGGACAAGTGTGTTTATAAAAATATTTCTAAATCTGAAAGTTGAAATTGGAAGTATCTGTAATTCTATAATCTTGAGTAAACGTGTGATTATACTATCTTCAACAATTAAAAAAATTGGTCTAAAGAGTTTAGACAGTACTTCCCTCGCTGTCGGAAACTTGACGACTGCATGCCTATTGTGTTTTTTTTCTCATTACATTTTTGTAGTGGGAATTTAAAAAAAAATTGCGATGACGTCATCAACATTTTTGCAAGGACACGTATATCAGTTGGGATAGATGTAGTGTAATACTAAGAATAAAATTATTATATTCTCAAATTTTCGGGAAAATGAATTGGGTCGTTTGAATATTGATTTGTAATAATCAATAAAATAACGAAACAATTTACTCACGTATACCTACGTATCAGAGGCAACTGAAAATCGTGTATGTATAAACATTGTTAATTTAAGATGACAGGCGTAACAGCATACGTGAGAGCCAAACACAGAAACTGTAAACAAAACGACCGTCGGTTTTATTGCTTCGACTTCCGCTTATTATATAAAACATTGGGTTTTATTTTAATTCTTGACGGTGAAATTCACAATTGGTTGATTATAAACATGTCTATTTCACATTCGCGGAATCAAGTGAACGCATAAAACAAATGCAGGTCTGTAATGTTAAAGTCGATGTAAATAAGCGTGCTACCCTATGTTTCAACCGAGTTTTTCCTTTAACAAATTTTGTGTCTACCAAATTGGGTTGGTTGGGGTGTAATACTAATAATAAGTGTTGCCTTTAATTTAATCAATAAAATAAATTGACTTCATTAATTTTTTTGAACCACCTCTTAAGAAAATCTAAAAAATATGAATGGAATGATAAATCACAAGTACAAACTCATCATATTTTTTGCATTTTAGATAGGATTTATTCAGCAAAATTTAAGAGTGACGTCATCAATTTTTTTAGGAGGGATGAACAAATACATTTTGAACAAAAGTTTACCATGCTTATAATAACTTTAAAATATTCCCAAGATTTCAAAGCATTCGGTTTTGTAATTCCTGATTAAATCGATAAAATAAATTCACGCCTTCATTAATTTTTTTGAGTCACCCTGCATATGCAAATCCAAAAATATGAATGGAATGATAAATCACAAGTACAGACTCATCATATTTTGTACATTTTAGATACGATTTATTCGGCAAACTTTTGAGCTGACGTCATCAGTTTTTTGTAGAAGATAACCAAATATATTTTGACTAAAAATTTATTATGCTCTTTATAACCTTAAAACATCTGCAAGATTTCAAAGCATTCGGTTTTGTAGTTCCTGATTAAATCAATAAAATAAATTTACGCATTCATTAATTTTTTTGGGTCACTCTGTATATGCAAATCCAAAAAATATGAATGGAGTGATAAATGACAAGTACAGGCTCATCATATTTTGTACATTTTAGATATGATTTATTCGGCAAACTTTCGAGCTGACGTCATCAAGTTTTTGGAGGGGATAAGCAAATATATTTTGACTAAACATTTATTATGCTCTTTATGACCTTAAAACATCTGCAAGATTTCAGAGCATTCGGTTTTGTAGTTCCTGATTAAATCAATAAAATATATTTACGCATTCATTAATTTTTTTGAGTCACCCTGTATATGCAAATCCAAAAAATATTAATGGAGTGATAGTTCACAAGTACAGACTCATCATATTTTGTACATTTTAGATATGATTTATTCCACAAACTTTTGAGCTGACGTCATCAAGTTTTTGGAGGGGATAAGCAAATATTTTTTGACTAAAGATTTATGATGCTCTTTATAGCCTTAAAATATCTGCAACATTTCAAAGCATTCTGGTTAGTAGATTAAAAATTAAATTTCAAAATGTTGTTTTATAATTTTGATTTTTTTTCCAAAAATCTGGACGTTTCGAGTGAAAAGTCGATTCAGAGTTGTAAACTACATGTGTAGGACTATGTTATTTTATACAATTGAAAACCCATTTACTATGTACAATTTTGAAGTGACGTCATCGCTTTAGTGGTGGGGATGATTCGACAAATTTTGGTTAGCGTTTTACCATCTACATGATATTCTTAATATAAGTACAAAATTTCACAACAATCGGTCGAGTACTTTCGGAGATTATCTGTCTAATAAAAATCCGTGACAACAGACGGACAGACGGACAGACGGACAGACGGACAGACGGACGGACAGACGGACAGACGGACAGACGGACAGACGGACAGACGGACAGACGGACAGACGGACAGACGGACAGACAGACGGAAATGAGAGACCTATTTCTTCGTCTTCTAGGGGTCATGAAAGATCGAGAAAACGTAAAAGTAGAGAGTCGGCCGACGGACTCGATTACAATACTTCCTTTGCTTACGCTCGGGAAGTAAAAGGGTATCTTGAAGGTATTAGATATACTAAACAATAATTACGATAAGTACTATGAACTTTTAAAATTTGAAAATATTGCTGCATAGGATTTTTTTGGAAAGCCTGGATACTTAGGGTAAAAACTCAAGGCGGATTCATAAACCACAGGGATTTGTTGTTTTATAAATATGTCAAATTTGATCTGACAGTTTCAGAGATTATCCGTTTAACAAAAACCGACACATACGACGGACAGACGGAAACGGGAGACCTAATTTTCTGTACTTTAGGGGTCCTGAGATGTCAAAAAAAGATGAAAGTAGTTATTCGCCGGATTCAGCCTATTATAATACTTCCTTAGCTTACGCTCGAGAAGTAAAACGGCAGTTTATTGTCTATAATTACATTCAGTATTTATTTACTGTTTCTAAGTTTATCGATCAGCTGTCATAAGCGATTTCGATGCAAGAAATCGTTCAATAAAATTAAAGTTTTAAAAGCAGCAGAAGCTTTCATTTTAAAAAGTAAATAACAATCAATCTGTTGTTAATTTAAATTGTTTTCAAAATTTCTAAAAGTAGAAGTGGTAATTAAGTACATTTTCGATACACTCATTTTTATAGCTGTTTTCTTATTGCAATAGTTACACTAGATTAGTGCTCACGAGACCCCAATTTAATCTTAATCTGTCAATCTTGGATTTTCAGTTTTGCAAAATCTGTAACTTAAGTACTGATCTGCATCCTAACAGTTGAAATTAACATGGATGGTTGCCCTATTCGAAAACATTTATCTCTAGGGACCACTTTAAAATCGAAATTTGACAGAAATTTTTATTTTGCAAATATCATGGTACATATGCATTTGTGCTATTGTTTCCAAATGTAAATCATTTTGTTTTTTAGCTTTTCAGAATTTATGTTATTATAAAATGTCCAGTTCGAAATCACTTTTAAATGATTCTTATAAATGATAAAAAAAAACTGTTTTCAAGCTAAACTGAAATGTTTCCTACTTCACAACACTCATTTAGTGACTGAATCAACTTCTACTTTTATGGTTAATTTCGACGTTTCAGGATCCCTAGAGTACGAAAAAATATAGGTATTCCGTTTCCCTTTGTCTGTCTATCTGTTTGCCTTCTGTCTGGATTTTTATTATGCAGATAATCTTCGAAACTACTGGCCCCCTTGTTGTCAAAATTTATATGTTTATTAGAAATATCGTATACATTGTAAAATGGTAACCAAAATTTGGCCAATTATCCCCGCCAAGAATAGAATGTCGTCATCTCCAAAATTTACACGAGTACATATTATTTAAATTTTATAAAAAAAAATACTCCTTCATATATGGTTTATAACTGCGTGTTTTTTGGAAAAAAATAAAAACTCTATAACATTTTGTAGTTTAACTTTGAAACTGTAAAACCGAAATAATTCTGCAAAATCTTGTAAATATTTTAATGTTATTGGAAGGTTATGGTAAATCGT